AAGTGATAACACATCTAGATAACAGATCACAAACCTCAGATTCACATCTGTGTATACCTGGCCAAAGTGATAACACATCTAGATAACAGGCCAAAAACCTCAGATTCACATCTGTGCATGCCTGGCCAAAGTGATAACACATCTAGATAACAGATCACAAACCTCAGATTCACATCTGTGTATACCTGGCCAAAGAGATAAGACAACTATATCTTTGATACCACAATGGGATACCACTGCTATGTCTGCCATGGGAACCAAATCCCAAGTTTTAGCATTATAAGCCATGAAGCTAAATCTTTGTAATAAGTTTCATTCTTTGACCCAAAAACAAATATTAATACTGTATTCACCATTATCTCAGTTATAATAATTTTAAATATTATAAAAGAATTAGGCTGCTTTCAGAATCTTAACTTCAAACATGGTTGTAAAATGAAATTTATATTAAATTTCAAGTTGTTATATTTATAGAGAATTCTTGATTTTTCATTTTGATGTGAAGGTTTAACAACAGATTTAACAAGTATAATAGCTTAGCTAAGTGAAGGAAACCATATCTTATTTAAACTTCCCTAAATACATTAAGATTTTCACAAAAATCACCTTCATGCATAACAGAATCCAGTTAATACAAAATCCACTCTTTGTGTATGTACACCAGTATTTCATCATACCTGTGGAGCTCCATCAATTTCATCAATAACTAAACAGTTAGGTTTGCAATTCTGTCCAATCACAGCCCTCATCTGAGTGGCAGCTTCTAGCTGTGTTGTGAAAACTTCAGGACTTCGGTCATCACTGCCCAGAACAAAAGTGTTATAAGAGAATTATTAGATGAAAGAAAACTACAGTCAGATTCTGCTGCTTTTTAGCTTATAATATTGTTACAAATTAAGACCAGACTAACATTTTCACCTGAATATAGAGACTGTTATGAATTCAAAATATATTAAGCTGATAAGTTTACTTACAATGGTTCAGACTTTACACCTATAAAAATTATTTTAACACAAATCAACTTGATTAAGGATTTACTTTGTTGTGATTTACACTATAACGAAAATATGCCCTTTTTAAAACAGATTGTGTAATCCGAACATTATTAGCAAAAAGCCATTGTCGTAACTGAGCAATATACAACTAACTACACCTGTAATTCTTTAACCACAATGTAATCACAGGTAATGTTATTAATTACTTGATGAGGGCAGTAACTAACAACTGGTATCACAAAATTTTGTACTTTGTTGTTAATAATTTAAAACTATGTTAAGTACCTGGCATTCAATTCTACAACATTGTATCCGGCATGTTGGGCGATTACATGAGCAAGGGTAGTTTTACCAAGTCCTGGAGGTCCTGTGAGCAGAGCAATCTGCAAATAAAATCTTATTTTTCCAAACTACAATAAACCTTAAGCACAATACATCATTATAATGGAAATTATTCATAAACATAAGAAAATTATCTTTTTAAAATATATCCAATCTAATTATCTTTTTACTTCCAAACCTTACATATAAAGAATCATGTTAACACACCTTAACTTTAAGTAATTCACCAAACAATATAAAGAATCATGTTAACACACCTTAACTTTAAGTAATTCACCACCCAATATAAAGAATCATGTTAACACATCTTAACTTTAAGTAATTCACCAAACAATATAAAGAATCATGTTAACACATCTTAACTTTAAGTAATTCACCAACCAATATAAAGAATCATGTTAACACATCTTAACTTTAAGTAATGCACCAAACAATATAAAGAATCATGTTAACACATCTTAACTTTAAGTAATTCACCAACCAATATAAAGAATCATGTTACCACATCTTAACTTTAAGTAATTCACCAACCAATATAAAGAATCATGTTAACACATCTTAACTTTAAGTAATTCACCAAACAATATAAAGAATCATGTTACCACATCTTAACTTTAAGTAATTCACCAAACAATATAAAGAATCATGTTAACACACCTTCACCAACCAATATAAAGAATCATGTTAACACATCTTAACTTTAAGTAATTCACCAAACAATATAAAGAATCATGTTACCACACCTTAACTTTAAGTAATTCACCAAACAAAGAGTTATAGCAAGTTCACTTTCTGTAAAAGTTGAGCAAGTGACAACTGTGAAGTATATATATCCTAGGGGGTGGGTAGAAAACTCATATAAACACACTGTAATTACATGAGGGGATAAGAACCTGATATAAACATAGTGTAATTAAATTAGGGGGATAGGAAACTGATATAAACATAGTGTAATTACATGAGGTGGTAAGAACCTGATATAAACATAGTGTAATTACATGAGAGGGTAAGAACCTGATATAAACATAGTGTAATTACATGAGAGGGTAAGAACCTGATATAAACATAGTGTAATTACATGAGGGGGTAAGAACCTGATATAAACATAGTGTAATCAAATTAGGGGGGTAGGAAACTGATGTAAACACAGTGTAATTACATGAGTGGGTAAGAAACTACTATGTCCACATGTAAATGTCTACCAGAACTGAACAATCTGGATTAAGACGTCCACAAGTAAATGTCTACTAGAACTGAAGAATCTGGATTAAGATGTCAACATGTAAATGTCTACTAGATCTGAACTATATGGGTTAAGAAGACCACAAGTAAATGTCTACTAGATCTGAACTATATGGGTTAAGAAGACCACAAGTAAATGTCTACTAGAACTGAAGAATCTAGGTTAAGAAGACCACAAGTAAATGTCTACTAGATCTGAACTATCTGGGTTAAAAAGACCACAAGTAAATGTCTACTAGAACTGAACTATCTGGGTTAAGAAACCACTACTAAATGTCTACTAAAACTGAAGAATCTGGTTTGAGAAGACCACAAGTAAATGTCTACTAGATCTGAACTATCTGGGTGAAGAAGACCACAAGTAAATGTCTACTAGAACTGAACTATTTGGGTTAAGAAGACCACAAGTAAATGTCTACTAGATCTGAACTATCTGGGTTAAGAAGACCACAAGTAAATGTCTACTAGATCTGAACCATCTTGGTTAAGAAGACCACAAGTAAATGTCTACTGGATCTGAACTAACTGAGTTAAAAAGACCACAAGTAAATGTCTACTAGAACTGAACCATCTGGGTTAAGAATACCACAAGTAAATGTCTACTAGAACTGAACTATCTGGTTTAAGAAGACCACAAGTAAATGTCTACTAGATCTGAAGAATCTAGGTTAAGAAGACCACAAGTAAATGTCTACTAGATCTGAACTATCTGGGTTAAGAAGACCACAAGTAAATGTCTACTAGATCTGAACCATCTTGGTTAAGAATACCACTACTAAATGTCTACTAGAACTGAAGAATCTGGTTTGAGAAGACCACAAGTAAATGTCTACTAGATCTGAACTATCTGGGTGAAGAAGACCACAAGTAAATGTCTACTAGAACTGAACTATCTGGGTCAAGAAGACCACAAGTAAATGTCTACTAGAACTGAACTATCTGGGTCAAGAAGACCACAAGTAAATGTCTACTAGATCTGAACTATCTGGGTTAAAAAGACCACAAGTAAATGTCTACTAGAACTGAACTATCTGGGTTAAGAAGACCACAAATAAATGTCTACTAGAACTGATCTATCTGGGTTAAAAAGACCACAAGTAAATGTCTACTAGAACTGAACTATCTGGGTCAAGAAGACCACAAGTAAATGTCTACTAGATCTGAACCATCTTGGTTAAGAAGACCACAAGTAAATGTCTACTAGATCTGAACTATTTGGGTGAAAAAGACCACAAGTAAATTTCTACTAGAACTGAACCATCTGGTTTAAGAAGACCGCTACTAAATGTCTACTAGAACTGACGAAACTAGGTTAAGAAGACCACAAGTAAATGTCTACTAGAACTGATCTATCTGGGTTAAGAAGACCACAAGTAAATGTCTACTAGAACTGAACCATCCGGGTTAAGAATACCACAAGTAAATGTCTACTAAATCTGGGTTAAGAAGTCCACATATTTGCTTGTAGATAGTGAGCAACCATCAACATTTCAATTACAACTTAAACTGAGCATGTCCTACCAAGATGAATCTGGATTTAAAAGCTAAATGACAAGGTTTAGTTAGCATCATGGTAATTTCTACAAACAAAACAAAAACTGAAGCTTTAAAACAAAAGTAATAGGTGTAGCAGTAGAGCATTAACTTAGCAAGTTCAAATATGGAGTTACATCACTTTCGGTCAGTGTTTTCACTTCCTCATAAAAAACAACAAAACATTATATAACAGTGAGAAGGCAACCACTAATTACAAAGGATAAAGCTGTAGCTATGATAACAACATTCAGTGTTCATAAAATAATCAAATAAATCAAACATTGGCAATTACAAAAAAGAGAGATAATTAATCTGCAGTCAAACACACAACTTAACTAAACTTCCCAGTAGCACAACACAGAGTTTAGAGCAACGTACGTACCTTATGCTGTGGTCTCTTATGATCATCAAGCTCCTATACAGAGAAAACAAGCATACCTATTAGTTTACAAACATAATGATTTACTACGGGCTAAAACCACAGAGAAAACAAGCATACCTATTAGATTACAAACACAAGGTTTTACTATGGGCTAAAACCACAGAGAAAACAAGCATACCTATTAGATTACAAACACAATGTTTTACCATAGGCTAAAACCACAGAGAAAACAAGCACACCTATTAGATTACAAACATAAGGTTTTACTACGGGCTAAAACTACAGAGAAAACAAGCATACCTATTAGATTACAAACACAATGTTTTACCATAGGCTAAAACCACAGAGAAAACAAGCATACCTATTAGATTACAAACACAAGGTTTTACTATAGGCTAAAACCACAGAGAAAACAAGCATACCTATTAGATTACAAACATAAGGTTTTACTACGGGCTAAAACCACAGAGAAAACAAGCATACCTATTAGATTACAAACATAAGGTTTTACTATAGGCTAAAACCACAGAGAAAACAAGCATACCTATTAGATTACAAACAT